CCTGAGGGGCTATTATACAAGACTGAAATGACAGACTCATTAGTGAAGAGGGCAGTCGAGGCCCAAGCCCAGCACCGTCACCAGCCCCTGAGGTCCTGTGTGGAAGGCGGAGACTTGTGTAGGTGTTCAGCCTACTCTCAAGTGTCCCATGCATTTACCTCTTTAGGGGTGTTATTGGGCAAATGTTTGGTTCAAACTGGCATCTTGTGTAACTGGCAAGATACATCCGCCTCAGCCCCCAGTGCCAAGGAGAGGTACAATAAGATAAAAGAAAACAAAGTAATTTTAAAGTACAACTGATTTAAAAGACTAATCTAATGGTGAAAACGCATCTCTTGTGACTGTGCCAAAAAGCAATTACTTGGGAATTTCCTGGGGTTTTAGATTATCCACCCTTCCACTGCATCTCAAAAGTGAACCTTAAACAAGCTTGGGTCAGCAAGACTCTTAAGACTCTTAATGCTGCCTGAGGTGCTGTGCTGAAAACCCAGCTGGGTCAGCTAGAAATGAACCACTAAGAGCACTTATCCAAGAAGAAATGGCAAGCCAGAACAACCCTGCCACATGGCAGCATACTTTCCATCTAGATTTGACACTTGCAGCCAGAACTGACGTTTATAGGCTCAGAGCTAGCAAGGCCTGAGAATTATCATGTTCTTCCATCACAAACAAACTGATATAAAATCTGACTTTGTCCTATGCAGACCACCAAATCAAAGTGGGCCAGGGCACAGTGACATGATGAGTGGGAGGGCCTGGACATATCTGAGATTAAGTGTAATTCACTAGGATTCCTACACTGAAGGCTGAGGCAGCCAGAAAAGGAAACTTTCTAAATGTTTTACAAATGAAGTCAGATGTTACTTGCATGTATTTCTTTTCTCTTTTCTTTTTAGTTTTTTGAGAAGAGATCATACTGTGCAGTCCCAATGGGCTCAAACTCACTATGGAGCCCAGGATGGCCTTGAACTCAAGGCAGTCCTTCCACCTCAGCCATCAAGCACTGGGACTGCAGGTGGGCACCACCCACCTGACCTTATATTACTTCACTGACAAAAAGAATCAACTGACCAAAAGAATACCGTGGTAAGTGCATCATTGGGGCAGGTTAAATGAAGTGGAGCATATTATTTCTGGAAAATAAACCTGAGTGAGTTTTATTGTACCATTCTGATTTATCTCTTCTCAAGTTCCATGAAAATCAAACAGACATTAATGTGGCAGTAAGGAGCATTCTCTGTAAGATAAGACTTTCCTACCAACCTAGTAGCTAAGATGTTTCAGCAGTGATAAAAAGAAAAGCTTTGAATTGATCAAATGACCTATTTGAAATTTTGAAGACAAATGTGCAAAAATAAGAGTCTGAATATCTTTAGTTATCTTTTTTGTTTTTTTGTTTTGTTTTGTTTTTGGTCCTGGAGATTGAACTCAGGACCTTGTACTTGCCAGGCAGGCACTTAAGCCACCAAGCTATCTCCCCAGCCCCAGAATATCTTTAGAATATTATTTATTAATTAGGTTAACAGCATAAATAATCTTTCTTCACAGTATATGATGGCAGTAAGCCTCAGTGCCATACCTCCTGCACTGAGAATCTTCAGATTAGAAACTATAAATCACCATCAGGGATGATTAGGAGAAGGAAGAGTTGAGAAGACTGAGAGATTGGTTGAGAGACTTTGCATCTTCCATAGTCTTCACACCAAAAGTAGGCTGAAATTGATTTACTGAGTTATTGGAGAGTTTTTTCCAATGGTATACTGGTATACAATGTACCTTGCTCTGCACTTCCAATGTGCACATCTAAATGTGTGAGGGTTTCACATACTCTCAGAGGTCACAGGTGCTGAGATGCTATCCACGTACAGCTTCTTATTTCCTCTAATGCCCATTTAGCAATCAAATGTCTATCACATCCAGAAAGACATGCCTGATGTAAGTAACTGTCCCCTGAACTCTACATTCATCTCTTTCGTGCATCTCAGAAAACTACAGGAACAGATTTCTTGAGTAGAGCTGGGAAGTCAATCACAGAGCCAGGAGACTCACAGCACACAATAGTGCTTGGTGATCTTGAGTACAAGCTGGAGAGAGATGCTGTGATGTTCCTGACTCTAGCCCTCTGGGGTCAGCATACCATCTCCTTTGTATAGACTCTGAGCTGGACCTTTTCAGAGGCAGAGCTGCTCCAGGTATCCATCATCTCCCTTCTGAAGTCTCCAGTGTTATTCAAACAATAAATGAGGATAATATACCTAAAATCTGTGGTCACAAAGCTGAGTAAAACATCCTTATGGATATATTCTGCAAGGCTCCAGTGTCACTAAAGTAATGCCAAAATCAATTAGCTCACCACAACACTAATTCAATAAACCACAGAGGTAAAGATTGCTAATGTCAGGGCCAGCAAGATAGCTCAGCGGACTACTTGCTTGCTTAGGCAAGTGCAGGGACTGGGGCTCAGTCCTCAGCACCATATGCCTTGCTGGTGCCAACCCTGGGTGTGCTGAGCCAGCCACTGAGACCTGGCATGGTAGCGCATGCCTGTAATCGCAGCACTGGGCAGGCTGAGAACATCACTACAAGTGCAAACTGCATAGTGAGACCCCATACCAAATACCTTAAAATAAAAAATAAAAGATTGCTAATGTCTGCTCTGATAATCTTGAAGTGCTAGAACTCGGTCAAATCTAGGGAAGTTTACAAATACTACCCCAGTATTTGAGGGTGACTACCATTTGTCACATAAAAATCTGAGAAAATTGGATATCAGATTTGCCCAGCTGCTTTCTTCTATCTAACCATAATTGGAAAAGGTTAATTTAAAAATTGTGTTATTGAATGCTTTATGAAACAAATTTTTTCCTCTCTTCCCCCAATACATTCCAGAGTGACACAGTAACATACCCAAATCAAATTAAAATTTAAATCTTGGTCTTTGTGCAAAGATTGCCTTGGCAACCTCAAATTCACTGCAGCAAAAGCAACACTCACAGCAAAAAAGAAGTATAAATGCATTCTACAAATCAGAATTACAAACCTTTACATGAATCATCTTCAATTGGCTGTTTGAAAGCAGTTATGTCACTGAAAGTGCAGAGAAATAAAACCACTTTGTCCTGTTCATTTCGAATTGGAGCAATTTTCACAAAGAACCACACAGGTGTCCCTGAAAAGAATATTAAAAGGTTGGTTGGTTATTTTGTTCTCATTTGAGAGCCTATGGAGGCAAAAGCTTGGGAATAAATAGGCAAAAATATTAATTCATTTTTAAAATGGTCTCATTCCTTCAAGTGCCAACATATTACACCATTAATTTTGTTCTTGCTGGAATAAAAACTTTCACAGCAACTACTCTGAGAGGATTTTCTTCTACTGAAGCAATTTTGTAAATGCAGATCTCCTAACCCTTGTAAAAGAGTTAGGAAACAGGTTGAAAATCCTACCTGATCCTATAAAAGAAATTTAAGTATCAAGACCAAAGACTTACTGTAAATCACATGGTGGACAGTAATGAATATGGGCTCACAATTATTAGTATGCAGGATTTTTATTTGTAAACAATGCCTTGATTAAAAATTGAAACAAGCTTCAGTCCCTGGTCCTGCATGCCTCACTGGCCCCAGCCCCGGGGCACACGCTGAGCAGGTGACTGAGTCCAGGTATGGTGGCGCACGCTTGAAATCACAATGCTGGGAAGGCTGAAAACAGGAGGATCACTAAGAGTCCGAGCTGCATAGTGAGACCCCATACCAGATACATAAATGAAACAAGGAACACTATTTAATCAATCAGAAAATTGAGGGGCGCTTGATAAGACCTCCAAAATTGTATAACTTTTGAAAGAAAGTAAATGGATGACAATTTCTGGATGATAAAAATAGTATTTGGAGGTGGAAAAAATATGAGCCAAAAGCTTCACTGCCAGCCACGGCCAACAGACCATGAAAACTCAAATTTCAACTGCTGTCTATGCCAAGCACCACCCCCCATCAAAGTCCGGATGGTGGACCCACCCACTTGTTCAATGCTCCATGGAGCATGAGCCAGAAACTGTACTTCCAAGTCCTTCTCTCCAAAATAAAAATGTGCATTATCTAATCCAACAGAAAATGGCAGAACACTGTAGAGGAAAAGGATTGCCACAAGGATTTCCATAGCAAAACCTTCCCAGAAAGGAAGGAGTCTAGGTTAGGCTGTGCTCACTTTAGTGTTTTAAGAAGCACAGTAAACATTTCAGTCTCACTCCTAGTTCCTGAGCTAAAACGGAGACGAACAAGCTCTTCCTAAGCACTGTCCTCAGCTGCAGAAGGAAGTGAGCAGAGCTTATTTGAGTTCTTAGACTCAAATGACTCCGGCATCTGTGGTCAAACAGCGGCACAGTTATTCTCTGCCCCCTAACATTTTTTTCTCTCCATGGAATACACCACAGTAACAGGTACCCACCTATTCTGTGACTCAAATTAAATGAGGCATGAAGCCGTGATATATTCTTCCCTACCTAGTTCTTGTATTTCAGTTCCTAAAAGAGTACTTGGCATACAAGGAGACTTTAGTAACTAATTTTGCATAGCTAATACATTGCATACTATTTTGTAACCACTTTCATATTAAAATCACTAATAGTTACTTTCGCATGCCATTAAGCATGAGCTTTCTGTATATATGGCACTGCGCTCAGCATTTCACATAAATCATTTCATGTTATGAGACACAGAGCAGACAAATCAGTGAGTCTCAGAGATGAAAATACAATCTCTCTGTCTGTAGTCACATCAGACTCTGTATTATTATACAACAGGGACAGACATACAACCTAAATCAAATTAGAATTAGTCAATCTGCCTTGACATAACTAATTTACCAATCTGGGTTTACTATTTGTTCATATTTAAGTATGTATAATCCCCAAGTATAGAAACTTAAGAAAATAGGCTAAATGGAAATATAGTCTCATTAATATTCTATTTAAATCTCAATTACATGTATATTCATTCACAGTTAAGTTAATATTCTTTCCATTTCTCTTTGCATAACATCCAGCTGCCCAGTGATGGATGTTCCATTACAGCCACCAGACTGTAGTGGCTCCCTAAGAAAAACAGCTTTTGAAGGAAAAGTCCACTGCAAAAAAATCACACATAGCATTTCAAAAATCAAGAAAAATATGAAATATTTTGTTTTATATTTGAAATATCTTGTTTCTGTAAAGTTTGTTACTCTTTCTCTCAGTTTCCTCCTTAGAAGCTGTGGGATTTTAAAGAATTTTCAATTAAGCAACAGAAAACTTAAAGGAAAGCATTATAGTATATCTTAGCTGGCAAGACAAAAAGCAAGCAAATGAGAAAAAGCATTTGCTTCCCCCCCCACAAAAAAAAAAATGTTTAAGCAGTTTTCTCAGATGGAGGCCAGAAAATACTCCTAATTTATCAAAGTAGTAATCAGTCAGAGGAGCCTGGGTGCGCTCATGATGCCTCAAGCTGGGAACCTCGTCTTGCTGGAGCCCAGCACCGCCCCCTTCACCCCCGCAACAAGCTGGCCATCGCTGCACTGCACCATCCCAGCCGGGCCAGTACCTGGGAGCTTGCTCAGCACCTGGGATGTGATGCCAACCCATACTCTGGAGATCTTCAAAGCAACCCTATTAGTCATACTGGGAGGCCTTTCTCAGTTTTCCCCCATTCAGGCTCATCACCAACTCCTCCATTTCAATAGGTTAACCTGTTAAAGCTGTGTGCTTGTCTCCACTAAACTGTGCCCAGACTAATGTTCTCTGATGAAACTTAGCACTCTGATCATTTCCTTTCCATATTTAAATACATATTTTGTACCCAAAATTCATTAAGTTGAGATACACTGCCTTAGAGTTCAACATGAGCTGATAACTGGAGCTTGTGGACAGCAGGAATTTCTTTTGCCCTGCTCTAGTGTTTCCCTATGGGGAGATATCTTTTAACGCAACATTCATAACTTTTCCCTTGGTAGCTAATTCAGGACACAAGAACTGGACATGAGTAGCTCAGTTCTTCACTCTTTGCTCCCCCATTCTACAAGTGGCAGGAAGAAAAGCAAAGGGCAGTGGTGTTGCTTGGTGGGAGGAGAAGACTGCAGATCTCTAGTGCTAACTGTGATAGGTGGGCGAATCTGTCAGATTGTATGGTTCACTTTTAGAAACTTGCCCACAAATATAAACCACACTGTCAAGATCAGCTTTATTAATCATAAAATTGTTATTTTAATTGTTGGCTCAACTCCTATATCCCAGTTAGTTTTCATCATAGACAGAAAGGAAAGTGGTATATATAGGATCCCCCCCAAAAACAAAACAAAACAAAACAAAACAAAAAAACCCTTAACTGCAGAGTATTTCCTTACATAGATCATAATCCATGCCAAGGCAGGTATGCTGGCTCTGCCTTATACTCTGTATCCCATCCTCATGCTCTCTAATTGGTGCTGTGCACAGGGTCCCATGAGGCCAAGGTATTATCCCACACACACATCTTAGTGATTGCTGCATGGAGTTCAACACCAGTCTTGGCAGGTGGTTGCTTAGGAATTTTGCTGAATTCCACGGACATAAATTCTACCCCCACTGTCTTTACTGCCACTTAGTCTTGCCTCTATGCCAAATTATCATCACCCAGACCCAGTCCGAGCCCAGGTCCGGTGAGTGTGTGGAGAGCTTCCTGCTACCCTGCGCCGGCGGGACCAGTCCCAGCCCAGGCGCAGCGAGGGCCGGACCCTCTCCCCCGCCCCCTCGGGCCGCACTCCCACCACTCCCCCATACTTCCCCACCCCTCCCGCCAAGTAAGAACTTCTGCCGACTTCCGGGAACCCTCAGACCCAGTCCTAGCCCAGGTCCAGTGAGTGTGTGGAGAGCTTCCTGCTACCCTGCGCC